ATGAAATGTTTAGGTGGAAACTAGCGAGCAAACTTCCTGCTAACTTCTAACTCTGTTAAATTTAATAACTTCTGTTTTCATACATGCCTGGATGTTAAACTTAATTGTTACACCCGATAAAGCGGCAACGCTGATGATTTTATCAAAGATTAAAGAATTTTGACCGTTTTTAACTCTTAGTGTTTGTTTGACCTTGGGACCTGAAATGGACGGAGTTTTGGACCCAGATTACTCCGCGAAACTCCTCACTACGGCAGCTGTAATGCTCTGACAATCCATCAAAACATTTTTTAACAGATTTCTGCCGCCAAAATCGGTTCGAGGTCAGTAAGCACAACCAGAATTCATACATAAGGCACACTCTCGATTTTTGAGAAAATTAAAGGATTTTAAGTGTGCTTTATAGTGTGGAAAATATGTTATACAGAAGAAAAGAATATATGGCGATATATATCGTTACCGCACATGCTTCAAATTATATCGCAATATTAATTTTAGGCCATATCGCCCAGCCCTATATAGTATGCTTTTTTTTTTTCTTTTTGGGTAGCTTCTCTTCTTCTAACTCAAGAATTGCAGTTTTATTTTCTTGTTTTACAGACTGACCTCTTCTGCTCCTGAACAGTGGTTTAGTAGAACAGTCTGAGAAGCCATTGGCTGCTTTTCATTGTGTCATTGCGTTTGCCTATTTTCCTCAGTCACATATGTACAGGAGAACCAAAAGAACAGATGGCTCCAAGCAGCCAAATAGGAAATACTTCGTTCCATACTGTTAATCTTAAGTATGTCAGCTACTTATAACATGTGAAGATGCAAGCTGGTAAGATCTACCTTTAAGGTACACCTATGTTTCCTGCTCTAAGCTCCTACAAAAGCCTCCTCCCTCCTCGAGGGGCATTTAAAGTATTAGAAGATCCTTGATGGTGGGGGAACGCGTGAAATTTCTGGATCACAGGAAGAAAAAAAGACATGAGCAAGCATAAATTAGCATAATGAAAAGGACCTACTGTTTTTCATTTCTGAAAGCCACTGATATGAGAGGAACTGTAGGTACAGTGGACTGGTCGAAAATATTTCTGTTGGACATTTCTTGAAAAAATCAATGTGCAGCAGTGGAATTATTGGAGCATTCACAGCCTTCTAAGAAAGTCAGTAGATTAAAGACTTAACCTTACATTTTCTGGGAAAGAGAGTAATACATTTTGCTGTCAAGTCTTCAAAACTGGACGTCTTTATGTTTGATCCATGTTTGATGAAATTATGGAAAAGCACGTGCTTGGAAATATAATATTGACTTCTTTCTGTTCTATTTCCCTTTTCCATGCAATCCGTGTTCACCCTGAAGCTGAAGAGTATGCTGTTGAAGGTAAGACTGATTTTTCTCTCCTAAGGTCCTCTGATGGCTTCTCTTGATGTTCTCATGGATGCTGATTCAGGTTGCTTCTAAATGCTTTATGCCATCCCTCTGTGGAGGGGCATTGTCAGTTTGGACTGCGGTTATAAGTGACTTCCAGGGGCCGTAATGAATTTTTTTCTGTATAAAATACACGTGAGAGATGCGCACCTGAAACTATTCCTTATTTTTCTATTATTATTATTTTATCTTGTCTTTCTTCATTTGTTTTCTTTTTTTTATAGTTTATCTCTAGAGAATATGAACATACTTGTATATGAAATTGTCAAGACAGCTGTTCTAACCTTGAACCAGTCTACCCATTAACAAGTTATTGTTCAAGTTCACATGCCATGACAAGGTGATGACAAGCTGCTGTCTTCACATCCTTTCCTGTCCCCTACAAAGGTGAACAAATCCTGCTGGTTTAGGCCCCAAAGGCACCACATTAGCCCTTGGGCCATGAAGGTGCGAAGCCAGTGCTGAATGTAGAAGACATTATGGATACATCAGTGTCTGCTGATCTTACTGCAAAATGTTGCTGTCCAGAGGTTCACCCACTGGGTGACTGGATCTGTTTTTTCAGTTCAATCAGACACTGAAACTGACATAAACAGGCTTTTTTTGAATATGCATCCAGATATTGGCATCTAGGTGTGTGTGTGTGTAAGTGTGTGTGTGTGTGTGTGCTTGCGTGTATTCTTGTTGCATTTCTTCTGTACTGAGTTTGAGGTGATGGATTACCTATCACAGACCTTGATCCAGCAGGGGAAATCACTGTGACAAACACCCTCTAGCTTCAAGTTTTCTTTAAGCTGAAAAAAGTTATGCTGCAGTTATTTCTCAATCTTTATTCTGAATCTTAGTTGTTTATCTTGTGGCATATTGGAAATATAGAAACTCACATCATAGAGCCACTTCAGTGTTATTAGCTATCGCAGTGGGTTCTGTTTGAAATCTGGTTCTGCATGATATGCACTTGATGTGTGCACTTGTGAACAGCGTGAAGTTGACATTTTCTGTTTGTTCCCATATAATGCCAGCTTCTTGTTTTTCTGTGGGTACATGTCTATGTATGAGTGAATCTTGTCACCAGGTGATGGGTAAATGTCAGGAGGAAGGTTGCAAACAGCAGTAAATGATGGCAATCCTACATTTGAAGCACTGTCAACACATCCTACATCAATCGACAGGTTCATGTGGGATGTGTTGAGGGACACATGAGGTTTGATTGAATGTCTTCATATGATATGAATATGTTATTTATGTTTGTATGTGTGTAAATGTAACAATGTGATGTAATATCAGAAGCCTAAATAAGCCCAGAGTAACAAAGCTAAATATTTGTCTAGGATATTTAAAGAAGATGCAAAGATTTTTGCACATCTTACCCAGGCTTCTGAATGCTACTACCTGCACCTGAGAAATAACCTGATGTAATAGCAGAACATTTGAAGTTGGAGGAAATCGAGTTTTGCCTTGAGGTTATGAATGAGAGAAATGTAATTGGTAACTCTGATGGCAGAGAGCTTGAATATGCTGACCTATTTAAGTATGTAGACAGCTTACAGGACTCTGGGTTCTCTGCGCTGTACAAGTCAGGTCAGCAGCCAGTCAAATTAATTTAATTTAATTAATAACCCTTTCAGCACTGTTAGTTTGGATTTGTAAATGTCACAAGTGCTAACATAATTTGGAGTAACTGGTATACCAGTCTACACAATCATATTAATAAGCAGATTTTTTTGTCTTTTGGAGACTTCATAACCAGAAAAATCACATTGATGTAAACACTCTATATGATGGAAAGAGGGATGTAATGGAGGGAAGCTGGGAAAGAGGAGATGCAGAGGGTGCTGAGAGGATGCTGAAGAAAGTGACTGGTTCAAGGAAAGGTTGACTCCTGTGAAGGGACTGTGGGAACTTGTGTTAACTGTCAAAAAGTTAAGCAAGTGAAACCTGACTCTCACAAATATGTAGCTATAAGTTAAAGTGCTGCCTAGTGCACAAAAGAAGCAAATAATCTGGAATCCTGTCACAGCAATGTAACATAGCCTTAGCAAGCATCTGTAGTTTCACAACTCATTTCGAGTATGTGTGGGATATTTCTTTGCACAGTTGGTTAAGCATCCTTTTATTATCTTTGCTTCCAATGATTTGTGATGGAAACATCCTTGTGCAGAGTTCTGAATGTTTTCTGTAGTACTGTGACCCTAATATGAGCCAGTTCAGTTTTGAAGAATATAAAAAAGCCTTGGAGTTTAATTTTCACTCATAAATATAACCGGGGTCAGAATACATAGTTTGTTTAGATCGTTGTTAAACTGAGACATTTTAAGTTATAAAAATCTTAATCAATTTGTCTGCCTCAGTCACTTTAATTTAAAAAACAAGGAGCCCGGGGTATTGTGTAGTAACAAGACTGCCTGATAAATTCATTGAAAATAGTTTATTGTCTGAATTTATTTCTGCTATTTTAGGGCTTCCCTGTGACTGCCCTTGGTATAATTAGTGTTGGTGACCATGGGTTAAAAGGTTGGTTGAGATGGATGATACAAAGAGACATTCAAAGCCCGGTGGGAGGCCAGTATCCCAGGAAAGGTGGATGGTGGCCCTCGCTCTTACACTGTAGGTCCTCGATTGATGATGTGTCAGCAACACTGACCTGTTTTACTGGAAAAAAAGGCCATCAGTGTATAATATATCCTAGCATGCCCTCCCATAGAGGACTGCATGTATGATATATTGTTTCATTATGTAAGGGCAATGTTAGCTCATCATCTGGTGCGGAGGTTTTCAATAGAAAGCAATAAAGAAATGGAAATGAAGTTGAAAGCTGTGGTGGTGTAATTTAGATTATGACATAGAGTTTGTCAGGGGGAAGCCAACATTTTCAAAACACAACCTACAGTATGTCTTATTTGAATGAAATAAGCATTTGATTCCCTATAACCCAGCCAGAATTCTGGTTCCTACAGATTGGCTATGTTCCCATGTGGTACACAGATTATAATCAATCACTTACAAATACTCTTGATCTCAACTAGTTATGATTATAAAGCACACACGTCCACAGAATCAGTTTCTTCCATTCCAACCTGTTCACCACCATGGACGGGACCAATTAACCGTCAAACGACGTCAGTGACAAGATTGTAGACCTGCGCAAGATTGGACTGGACTACAAGACCATCAACATGAAGCTTGGTTTGAAGGTGACTACTTCTGGAAGAAATTCAAAATAAGCACCAGTCACCTTTTTTTTGGTGCTCTATGCAAAATCTTGGCTTACGGGATAAAGATGACCATGAGGTACCTGATCGATCAGCCCAGAACTACATAGGATGAGCTTGTTGGAATACATTTACCAAGAATATCATTGGTAACACATTGTAATTTATTCAAATATTGCAGCACCTATAAGATCCCTCCTGCTTCTGAAAGACACACGCACAGGCCCGTGTTCAGTTTGTCAGTGAACATGTAAATGATTCACAGAAGGCTTGGGAGAAAGTGCTGTGGAAACCAAAATGAAACTTTTTGGTATTAGCTTCATCTCGTTTGGAGAAAAAGAAATGAGTATGAGTATGACCCAAAGAACAACCTATCAACAGTTAAGTACCGATATAGAAAGATTATGGTTTGGGGCTATTTTCCTGCTAAGATTACAGGACAAGTTCAATGCACTGAGAAATTCTTTTTACCAGATCACTGAAGATGGGTCATGGATGGTTCTTCCTGCATGACATTGACCCAAAACATACTGCCAAGAGGCTAATTAAGGACATTAAGATCATGGTGGGGTCTAGACAGTTTCTAGACCTCTGTCCTATAGAAAATGTGTAGAAGGAGCTGATTTTTTGTGTCACCAAGTCTCATCCATTTAACATGAACATGGCTAAGAGACAAAATAGCTCATCTACAAATGGACAGTAGCAGATCAAATGTATAGCTGACCTCTACGTATGACCTCAGACACAGGGCTTTCTTTTCAATGCTGATATTAGACAATCTGATCATGAAAAATGATCATTTCTCCCCAGGTCATGCGGCCCTTCAACTTAATCTGACCCCTGGGGAAGGGGAATAACTACTTTTCCTCAACATAATGAATGGTTTGACGTTGGCTGGAGATACAGGATTACAGATTTAAGTTGTCCCTGTAGTTATAGGAGATTACTTTGGATCATCCAAACCAGATTATGGATTTTGTTCTTGTTTGCTCAGAACTTCTCTAAACGTGTGTGTGTGTGTGTGTGTGTGTATCCCAGGGGCAAAGGGACAAAAACCACAAAGTGAAGCAAATATTACATGTACCGATGTCATTGTGGTATTAACCTAGATTCATTTTATTCTCTGGAACAAACAGTGTTTCTTCTGCATAATTTATATTCAAATTCCAGTTAGTAATGTTGTGCCAAGTATGACTGGCTAACTGCCTGACTAATTTTGCTATTTAAAACCCCCACACAAAGTCACATGCCACATCTTGTGATTTTTATCAGTCAAGTTGCGTTTTACTTCAATTAAGGTCAGTACAATAGCATGAATAAATTCTTGCCTATTTCCTTTTAATTTGTTTAAAATTAAATTAAATTTATATTGTCTTGCTGGTTGTCCATGTCACAGTTGCAGTGCTTGTGCACACCGCAGTTTAAGATATAAATTGTGACATGGCAAAACAGCAGGATTGCAGTATATGCAGATGTACACAAATATCTTCATACTTATCTTCATTCAGTGGTTAAACAAGGCTGTTGACTTTGGAAGAATGCTATCTAGCTTATTCCTCATAATCAATCAAAAAGAAGAGACAGAAAACAAGCAAACACAGACCCACAAAGTCAGAGTGGAAGATGACCAGTGACAGTGAGGATGAAATGGAACTAAACGGTGTCTGTCTGCTGTTGAGAAATTGCTTGGAAGCCTTAAGACAGTGGGATGCCTTGATGTTCTCTCTGCCTGCCCAGCCT